TATATATATCAATAGCTCACTTCCAAGTCTAGTGGTTCATGTTTTCGTGACAACCTCTTTCCTAAGAATTGATCCAGCATAGCTTTTAATTTTTTCAACTCCAGAGCACAGGGGTGTGAGGAAAAGTTATTCAGTTATCTTTATTTTATCTTTGAAACATAAATTTATTAGGGGCCAAGGAGATGATGACTCAGTAGAATGAGCGCTTGCCTGGCAAGCGCAAGGGCCTGAGTTCAATCCCCAGTTCCACAAAAAAAAAGATAAATTTATTAAAAACTAGGTCTTATCACAAAATACTGGCAGTGGAGTCTGGCCTGAGCCATCATGGCGGCGCCCGTGTAACTAGGCCTCCGCGAAGGGGACGGTGGTCGTGGCGCGGGTGCCGCGGGGGTCGGCAGTCATCATGCTGAGGGCCGCGTGGAGGGCACTGAGCTCATTTGGATTCCGGGCAGCGACTCAGGCCCCGGTCTTTGGTCTGCCGGGCAGAGGGAGTGCCAGGCTTCCTTCAGATAAGTGGGGCCTGCAGCCTCAAAGTCTGCTGCAGGCTGCTCGTGGATGCGCCACCCAGAAGCCAGTCCAGCCCAGCCAGGACAATGACCTACCTCCTTCCACACTCCTCAAAGACGACCAGGACGTCCCTGGCATCGAGAAGGTTGACGATGTTGTGAAAAGACTCTTATCTGTGGAAATGGCCAGCCGGAAAGAAATGCTAAAAATCAAGCAGGAACAGTTGATGAACAAGGTCATGGCAAACCCTGAGGACACCAGATCGCTGGATACTCGAATTGTTGCCTTGAGCGTCAAGATCCACAGTTAGGAAGAACATATGCGGAAACATGGAAAGGACAAAGCCCACAAACGCTATCTCCTGATGAGCATTGATCAGAGGAATAAGATGCTCAAAAATCTCCGGAAGACCAACTACAGTGTATTTAAGAAGATATGCAAAGAGCTGGGGATCGAGTATACCGTACCCCCTCTGTACTGCCGAAAAGGCCACCGCCGCTTCTTGGCCAAGAAGGCTCTGTGCATCCGGGTTTTCCATGAGGTGCAAAAGCTGAAGAAGCAAAAAAGGGCCCTAAAAGCTGCAGCAGCAGCAAAAGCAACCCAGAAACAAAATGGCCACCAGAACTCAGAGACCCTCTCCAAAGCCTACGCAGAAGCACTCGAAGAAAACTAATAAATTCTGAATGACATCATTTCAACCATGTTCAACAGAAAGTTTATGGAGGAGCTGTTCAAGCCCCAAGAGCTCTACTCCAAGAAGGCCCTGAGGACCATCTGCGACCGCCTGGCTCATGCCTCCATTATGAGACTGAACCAGGCCAGTATGGACAAGACCCACCACCCTGGCGTGATTCTGTCCTGCGGGTCTGTTCTGTGGAGCAGGACTCATTCATTTCCGTCCACGTTCTTTCCCACCTATGTGCACACCAACACTCCATGGAGATTCGATGGATATGGACGTGAGCCCCCTGAGGCCCCAGAACTATCTCTCTGGTTGTGAACTAAAAGCAGACAAAGAAGTCCGGGGCACGCGCCTGTAATCCCAGAACTTGGGAGGCAGAAATCAGGAGGATCGCTACTAATGTGGGCTATGTAGTGAGACCCTGAACAAAAAAAAAAAGAAAAAGAAAGAAAACCTAAAGAGGCAGACAAAGATTACCACTTTAAGGTGGATAACGATGAAAATGAGCACCCATTGTCATTAAGAACAGTCAGTTCAGGGGCTGGTGCAAAGGATGAATGACACGTTGTTGAGGCAGAGCCTATGAATTATGAAGGCAGTCCAACTAAAGTAACACTGGAAACTTTGAAAATGTCTATACAGCCAACGATTTCCCTTGGAGGCTTTGAAATTACACCACCTGTTGTCTTAAGGTTGAAGTGTGGTTCAGGGCCTGTGCATATTAGTGGACAGCATTTAGTAGCTGTGGAAGAAGATGCAGAGTCAGAAGAGGAAGAGGAAGAACATGTAAAACTCCTAAGTATATCTGGAAGGCAATCTGCCCCTAGAGGTGGCAGCAAGTTTCCACAGAAAAAAGTA